TTTTTTTTTTTCGAAACGATAGATGTACTATAAATCAAAAAGCACAAATGTGCGAATACACAGCAGTCAACGGCTGAATACACAGTAGCCAACAACTGAATAAAAAAGAGAGGACAAGTCCTATGATCTCCCAAATCCGACCGCCTAGATCCGACCCCAACAGGGTAATAAACAAAACAACACAAAAATACAACACTGCACAGATACCCCAACAGGGTAATACACAGAGACCCCAATAGGGTAATACTTGAGTGTCGGACCCCAACAGGGTAATGAAGTGACACTCAAGCTGACAGAGGCCAACTGGCCCAAACCAAAAACACATCAACAACACAACATAACGAACAAACACACACACACACACACACACACACACACACACACACACACACACACACACACACACACACAAAGCTACCCAACTAACAAAACAAAAGCAACTAGAACTAAACAAGCCCTCCTAAAGTAGCAGCACCAAACCGAACCAACGGAAACAAGGCGACAGAGAATCCCGCAGCCAGCTGAATCGACCCCGAAACTGCCAAAACCACTCGGTTGCCTAACGGTGTCGAACCCCTAGCCCCGAAACCCAATCCGGCCACCCGCACCACGGCCACAATACTCCAAATTGTTCCGAACAAACAAACGAGTACCAAGTCGCAGCCCCAACCCCATCACGCCTGGAAGCAGTCCAAAGCCACCGCGCCGCCGCCTCACTACTCCCCCCATCACCACTGGCAGAAGAAAAAGAACGGCCACCACGACCCTTCGACCCAAAAGTCGAATCAACTTCGAACCGCAGCAACTTCTGATTCGCCCAAACAGCAACATCGTCGAGCAATTGGGAAGCGTCCCGCCTCGAGAACCGCACCACAGCTCCTCCTCCGCCCAGCAGAGAAGCCACCACACGGAAGTCGCGAAAAGTCGCCGGAAGAGAAGACGACCGTCCGCAACAGGGCCAACTCCAAGGGAACGGAAAAGGAGCAGAAAAAAAAAGGCAGGAGCCAAGCAATCAAGGGCCGGCCTCCGCCGGCAAAGCCCGATGTACACCTTAGAAGGCCGACTTCTGTAGAACTGGTTTTGGGTTTTGGGTTTTTTAGATAGAGAAAGGAGTTACAACACTTTTTTTAGCACCAATTGAAGAGTTCATTATTATCAAAATTTAATTTTTTAATTTTTTAATTAAAATCTATATAAAACTTAATTTTAAACAGTGTATTCACAAGTTAGCTTATAACTTATTTGCTTACCTTATTAGCTTATTTTATTCTTATTTTTTTGTCTTAACGTAGCAAGAAGTTTGTTAGGTTTTTTTGTTTCAATTGAGTAATTCACTAGCTAATTTATCAGTATCACTGTTATTATTTCGGTTAATTTTCCAGTCATATCATATGCTTTCAATTATGAATTAAAAATTACCCATAAACCATCGCTCATCTTATCTTATCAATTAAATTTAACCAAACATATTATATTGATTGGTCAAATTACAATACGCACTAAAAAAAAAAAAAAAAAACTCTTAAATTCTAACAAAAATTTTCCGCTTGAATTCTTTATATTTTCCGTTGGAATAGCTATTCCAACGGATATTCCTATGTATAGAAATTCGTAGGAAAAACGGCCGTTGGAATAGCTAAAATCTAACGAAAAATCCTATGGAAATAAATTCCTACAACTATTCAAACGAAAAAAATTCGTTGGAATTCCTCAACCATCCAACACTTATTCCAACATAAAATTAAGATTGTTGGAATATTTATTGGAATTTCCAACGGAAATTTTTGCCGTTGGAATTTTTCGATGGAATTAAAGTGTTTTCTTATAGTGACGGGGGATTCGACAGAGAACCTCGGTGTTCATGGCAGTTTGGTACGGGCGATTAGGGAACTGCTTAGCAGAGAATGGGAAATTATTGTGAGTCATTGTTATAGGGAGTCCAACTTTGCAGCCGATTGTTTGGCGAACCTAGCTAATCACTGTCCCAGTGGGTATCAACGGCTTCAAGATCTGTCGTCGGCAGTTCGACCGTGGCTACAGCATGACGTTGTTGGCATTGCTTATCCACGGAACATTATTGTCTAACGGTCTTTAGGCGCTTTGCTTCCTTCTTTGTACCAAAAAAAAAATAAAAAATAAAAAATAAAGAGTTCAACCAACAGGGGTTCACTCAAGCTGAAAGCAGCTTGATGCCGCTTAAGCAATGTCTCGATTTCGAGTCTTTGTGGATGCAGAGAACTCTTGTTGGGAGACTCACACACCACTGTCAGGTGTGCGATCCGAGTTGACCATTAACTGATTAGTCGGGATATAGCTCCGAAGAGCGTGGATAGCTAAAAAAAAGAGTTCAAATTAACAACGACGTCGACGTCCCATCAATATTTTGGTCTAACTAATTAAACTTTGTTGAAAATTGAAATAATTAATTCGAACTAATAAAGTCTTGAAAGCCTTTGTGTTGTGCAATATGTCATTGTTTCATTAATTTTATTATATATAACCTTTTCATTGTGCACATCTTTGTCAAAAAAATCATCATATGTCCCAATTAAATGGCAAACACATATATATGTATCACAAATTTTATTAATTGTTTACTAAAAGGGTTAATATAGTTAGTACACACATTAACACATAGCTAGTCACATTCCAACGTTATAAGTTATGTAACACGGTCAATAATTCCATTATTATCAACCAAATTATTCTTACTTTTCGTCTCTATTGTATGAACACTTATGTTAATTAAGAGATAAAGTAAGTTCTTTCTTAACAAGGAAAGAAAATCATGAATAGTATCTGATGCGACATTCAAAACTAGTCCGGTTCGGATTTGATCTGGCACGAACTATACGATATTTATTACGAATTAAATTAGTACGAAGATCGACTAAGCATTTGTGTGTCTACACTAACAAGTTTACAGGTTGATTCGGTTCGTGATTATGAAATAGTCGTACTGATGGTCTTTGTTTTTTTTGTTTATATTTTTTGAAATCTTAATTAGTTGAAGTTATTAAAATAAATCAATTAAGCTTCTTGAGAATATATAAAAACTTATATTTAACTCAAAGAAATAAATAATAAAAAAAAAATACAATAGTTTTTGCTTGTGTGGAACACCAAGCTTAGCTCACTATTTTTGGACTGGTGCATGGCTTCTTGATTTTTTTTTTTTTTCATGCATGTCA